CTTTTTTTTTTTTTTTTTTTTTTTTTTTTAAGACATGTATGGAATGTCAAGTGTCAAATGCTTTTTTTTAAAATTACATATATGACTTTATTAGTGTAAAAAACGTGTAAATATATTTAGCCTTTTCCCCATTTCTCACACACTTTTAGAACAAAATTCTGTTGATAAAGGCCTGTTCATGAACCATTGCAGTGCAGCATAAAAATTAATTACCTTTTCTTCTGAAAATGAAAGTTTATGCAAGTTCATATCGGAGTAATATTTTTGTTGTTTTGGTGTTATTTTGTTAGAAATAAATATGTAGGTTTGGTAAATTGGGACTTTTTTGAGCAATCGGGAGTTATAAATTCAACAGAATTGAATAAATTTTTTGTTTAACTGTATTAAAAAATTATTAAGCCATGGCTGTTTTATAAAATACAGATTCTTTGCATCCAAAAGGACCCAAATTGTGAAAATAGTATACAGATTTTGAATGCATTATGAACACAAATGGTAAAATCTCTGTTTGGAAGAGACCCTCATCATGAATCAGAATATAATGCTAATATCCTCTCTCTTATCGTGGCAGGCCATCACCCATGAGAATGGAGAGGATATGGTGGTGCCAGGCCTGTATGCCTGCGGTGAGGCCGGCTGTGCATCGGTGCATGGTGCAAATCGTCTGGGCGCCAACTCACTGCTGGATCTGGTTGTGTTTGGACGCGCTTGTGCCCTGACCATTGCTGAGACCAACACTCCAGGTAGCTTCAATACACCCTGAAATGGTGAAGGAATGCCTGATAATTGCCTTTTTTTTAGACACAAGACACAATCCTGAAAAGTAGTAATTTAGTAATTATTTACATATTTAGCAAAGTTTTTTTACATTCAGTTGTGATTTGTTTATTTATCTTTCTTTCTTTCTTATAGGAGAGAAGCTTTCCCCTCTGAAACCCAATGCAGGAGAAGCATCTGTCACCAATCTGGACAAGATCCGCTTTGCTAACGGCAGTACCAGAACCTCAGAGATCAGACTGAATATGCAGAAGGTCCGTCACCTCACTGCAGCTCTTTATTTCTTAAAAGAATCCTAAACTTATTGACTGATCAACAGGATGCTGCTAGGAATTGAATTGAAGCATGTGGTAGTCTCCTCTTATGATTTAGGATGATATCAAGTGGTTATAATAAATATATTATATAGGTTTTGTTTTTCTTTTGGACCTCAGACCATGCAGAATCACGCTGCTGTGTTCCGCACCGGAGACGTCCTGAAGGAGGGTTGTGAAAAGATGGACTCCGTCTACAAGTCTATGGATGACATCAAGACATTTGACAGAGGTCAGAGAAGACTGGCACAGGAGAATTGAATAAATTAGAAATCACATATCTCTGTGCTCACACGATTCAAATTTTCATTCAGCGTTGATTAAAAGTGACAGACGGGATTTTGTGTAATTCTGATCTTTCTATTCATCAAAGAATCCCATCAAATCATGATTTCCACAAAAATATGAGGCAGCACAACTGTCAACATTGATAATAATCTGAAATGTTTTATGAGCAGAAAATCAGCATATTAGAATGATGTCTGAAGGATGATGTGACACTAAAGACTGGCGTAATGATGCTGAAAATTCAGCTTTGCATCACAGAAATAAATTACATAAATGCATTCAAATAGAAACTAGTTAATATTTTTTTTTAAATTTACTGTTTTTACTGTATTTTTAATCAAGTAAATGTAGCCTCTGTGAGCCTTAAAAGAAAACAAATTAAGAACTGACCCCAAACTTTTGAAATTTGAATGGTAGCGTAATCATTTCTGTCTAATCTAAAATGCATTGATCTGCATTACTGTATTAAAAAGGTGTTATTGTTGCAATATGCTGGTTGTTATAGCATTTGTGCTGCTTTTATGTCTTCAGGCATTGTCTGGAACACTGATCTGGTGGAAACTCTGGAGCTGCAGAATCTGATGCTGAACGCGGTGCAGACAATCGTCTCCGCTGAGGCGCGTAAAGAGAGCAGAGGAGCTCACGCACGCGAGGACTTCAAGGTGAACTTTCTGAAACCAGCATGCTTGTCTCAGGACATAGTTTTGTAAATTTACAAAGCTGAGTTTTTAGTGCTCGGCACGTTTTTTTTTTTAACCTGGTAAAAATGACGTCTTAGCTTTTGAAAATGGAAATGTTTCGTTACATTTTTTACAAATGGGTGTGTTGCTTCCAGCTCTCTGTAATTTGTAGTCTTGCAGCTTAAAATAATAGTTATAGGACTCAAGATGTTGATGAGCTTGTTTCTTCAGCGGAACAGATTTGGAGAAATGTAGCATTACATCACTTGCTCACCAATGGATCCTCTGCGGAGAATGGGTGCCATCAGAATGAGAGTCCAAACAGCTGATGCACAAGTAATGCACACCACTTCAGTCCAAGTGAAAAGCTGTGGATGAACAAATCCTTCAAGACGTTTTTAACTTCAAACCGTCAATGCATTAATGGATTCGATTTACTTCGTAAGACATTAATTGATGGACTGGGGTGGTGTGGATTACTTGTAGATTATTGTGATGTGTTTATCAGCAGTTTGGACTCTCATTCTGACGGCACCCATTCACTGCAGAGGATCCGTTGGTGAGCAAGTGATGTAATGCTACATTTCTCCAAATCTGTTCACATGAAGAAACAAACTCATCTACATCTTTGATGACCTGAGATTGAAAGCATCTTCTGCATATTTTCATTTTTGGGTGAACTATTCCTTTAATATGCATCGCAGTGTTAAAGCCAAAACTGTTATGTGGATATGTTTTGTTTTTTTGGCTTAAATGGTTTTGTTATGCTGTTTTTCTTACAGGACCGTGTGGATGAGTACGATTACTCCAAGTCTCTGCAGGGACAAGTGAAGAAGCCTTTCGAGCAGCACTGGAGGAAACACACAATGTCCTACGTGGATCCCAAGACAGGAAAGGTAAATATATAATGAACCTTTTAGTTCATTGTGAGAGTGTTTTGCCATTGTTACCGTTCCCTTAATTTGTTCACCTTTAAATCTTTCTTGTTAGTCTGCATACAGGAAGAAGGAAGCTGTATGTTAAAAAAACAAAGTGTTCGTTAATATGAGCTAACATGTATAAACGTGTGTTTCAGGTTACTCTGGAATACAGACGTGTGATTGACAGCTCTCTGAATGCAGATGACTGTGCTGCTATTCCCCCTGCAATCCGTTCCTATTAAACACGTCCTAATGTGCCCCAGCTGACTTTGCCCTTTTGCTTATTTATAATCAGCCAATAAATAAATGAATATCTTGTTATTGACAGGCTGCGCTTTATTTAAATGTGACCACAGTAAGACTCGGAATAT